TTTCGAGCAGAATGTAAATTTTGCGAACGCAAAGTAGTATATATCAAAGAAACAACAATTTAAAAACCACGTAAACGACGTGCATTATGGAATTCACCATCTTGAAGAACATAAAAAAATACCACGGAATATCTACCTAGAACAGTGGAATTATGTAAGGTACACATTAGACACTGTATTGAATAAACTTATCACAGAATGCATGATATGTCAAAAAAATGTCACACTACCTCACATAGATCATAATCCACGCGAGATAGTAAACTATGCTCATCATTGAGCACTTAAATACGCGAGACAGAATGGACATGTTGCGAAATGTACGATATGTAAAACACCAGTAGACTTTGAATGTGACGTGGACAATTTAGAAAACCACCTATCATCTGTACATCAAAAGGAATTGAAAAGAAGACAAAAAAAAACAAAAGATAGAACAAATAGAACAAGGAACAGCACACGATGAAGCTAAACCGTCGACAAGCTACGCCAGTTAAAAAAAAACGATCGTAAGTTTTAATTATATTTTATCAATTACTACTGTTTAGTAATATTTATCATTACATTTTATTCTTTCAATGGTGTATTCAATCAAAATATGATAAAAACAACAAAAATCAAATAATTAATATATGTTTTTATATATTACAAATGTTTATATAGATTTATCTACGTTGGATAATGGAAATGATGGTAGCGGCATTTTTAAGTAGCATCTCATGACCAGCGATAACGACAGTCTTGACTTTGACTTAAGTGATTTGAAATACATGAAGACATTGGCGTATAATTTGACCTATTTGTCGCATATCGGTTTTGTGTTTACAAATGTATAAGATTTGCAAATTTAAATACATATATATTCATAAGTTTATAACATAACAATATTGTTTCAATTTATAAAATTATATGCATAATGATAAATAATACTTTAAAATGTAATATTCTTCAAATTATGCTTTAAAATGAAATAGCATGTTACTACATTTATAAAACTAAACCGATTTCATGAATATAACAATATTCTCTTTTATAATAACGAATCTTCGAGTCACGTACTCAACACACATATAACAAAACTCAGATAATTAGTACTTGTTCAAAATATTTATGTAAATTTTATCCAATCGCATTCTGCAGCTTAAAACAGATATGTCTAAATCACTCTATATTTGGAGAAAGAAACTAATGATTATATATTTTGCACTTCAACATAACAATATTACTTTTTTGTAAAGTATTATCGTGAAAAAAGTAGACGTTAGAACTCTTAACAAATCTGTAACGACTGTCTTAAGAATAAACCGGAGGATTATATATGTCGCAGTTGGGCATAGATGTATTGTTTTCTTGTGCATAAGAAGACAGTATTTCTCCAAATCCATGTACGAAATGGATATTCCTTTAGTTCCTTTTTACAATACTTGTGTAAATATCTTTTGACGCGTTCGCACGTCTACATTTTCTATGACTTTATGAAATAAATTTAAAGAATCATGTAAGACGTAAAAGTTTAGATATATTGGTAAATGCGTAAAAAACAAACATACTATCCATGTTATTAAAAATCATTACTTGAGAGCTTTGACGAATATTCGAAGAAATGTATGTCTTGCAAAAATAAATATTGTTACTTTAAATTTTTTAATATTCGTGAACATGTAGAAGAAAACATATAAAAATTTTTAAATACGAAAAAAAAGAAACAGTACAAATACCGCCGGACATATGTTAAATATTTCCACAAATTATGTTTATAATATATTATCTGTGCAAATGTTCCGTCTATATTTGAATCTCTAATAAATTATGTAATAATATTCCGAAGCTTTATGTGTAAGATACTGTATTTCTTTTATTACATTAATGTTGTGCTTATGCTGATAAAAATTCTTCCATTATGATTAATGTTGTCTCAAAGTATTATAAACATGCACTAGATTGTATTATTTTATCATTTTAAGCTTATTTAGAAAGCTCTCGATTACGAATTTAATGTCATCTCTAAAATAATTATAGCACGTAGCAGATTTTATCATTTTATCATTTTAATGTTATTATTATTTTAAAATTTTTCAACTACGAAATTAATGTTGTATCAAAGGTATTACAAGTAGAAAATTGTACCGTTTTATTATTTTAATGTCACGCGTAATTACAAATTTCTCCGAATCTTTTGAGAATTTAATGTTATTGTTTGCGTGATAAATGAACTTTTGGCACATAGATTTGTACGTGGAAATAATACATATTTGGAGATTCTTGTAATTATTTAAATATAATTCGAGATTGATTATATATTCACATAGATACGTATAGCATGTGATAAAAATTGTTACATTTAAATACATATACATAAAAAAAAAA